AGAACTCTGGCTGCAGCATTTTGGATCAGCTGAAGGCTTTTAACTACAGTTTGTGTCAGGCATCTTTTAAAGGTAGTCCTCTAATCAGTTATTTCTTTTCTTAGGTTTTTTTCCAGGTAGCTCCCAAAATTGTGAAGCCTTCTTAAGGCACAAAATGACTCTAATTTCTCCTTCGATTCTAAAGAAATACGGCATCCCGTTTGAAAAGGTAACGCCTGCCTGTTTTTAAACTGAGTTATTTCCGTAGATCTTCCTGGAAGATGAAGTAGTTGCTGATTAGTTTATCAATGTATCTATAGATCACTCAGGAAGCTGGCGAGTTCATGGTCACTTTCCCCTACGCCTACCATGCCGGTTTCAACCACGGTTTCAACTGTGCCGAGTCCACCAACTTTGCTACAGAGAGGTGGATCGAGTACGGCAAGCAAGCGGTTTTGGTAAGGGTCTGATTATGTTTCCATATTTTTATTGATGAGCCTAATTTAGCCGTTTTAACCTTTTTCTTTTCTTCCCCTCAGTGCTCGTGTCGTAAAGATATGGTGAAGATTTCAATGGATGTTTTCGTCCGGAAATACCAGCCGGATCGCTATGAGCAGTGGCTGGCGGGGAGAGACACAACCCCCATCGACCATTCCCAGCCCACCCCAGAGGCCAAGGAGTTTCTGGGCGAGGCCGGCGGTGAGGATGGCGAGAGGAAAAGGTACGTTCATCTGTACCAACCTTTACAATCCAAAGAGTCGTTTTTGATTTCAGTCCAGCTAACAAATAGCTTTTAGAGCCACAAACATTATAAGACCCTTTATTTAAAAAGAATGAATGAAAAGATAACTTATATTCAATAAAAATGTACCACAGCAAATTTGTCATTTTAGATTCTCTGTCTAAAAATAAGGTATAAAAAGGAATAAATACATTTTCAGTTGGTTGTTGAAATCTGCCGAAAATTATGTTAAAAATACAAGTTTTCCCATTTAGAAAAATATCCAAAAGATACATGAGCCACAGTTTTTTAGTTTGTTTGTAATTATGTTACAAATGTTTTTTTTTCAATCTTTATTGGATTTTACTCTGTAAACAAGTTATATTAGCTTTGTGCAGCAAGCGACCCGTCTTAAAATCCTCTCGTGTTTTCTGAGCACCAGATACTTAAATGCTTGTGATGCCCTCTGCTGGAGATGCTTCAAGATGCTCTGCTCAAGCGGCGTGAACTGTGCTGCTGGAACTTTTGTTGCGCCTTGATGTGCTTCAACCATAGACTGCACGTAAACTGGCTGCTTCTGCTGCTCAAGGCGTGTTCATTGTGAACGCAGCATTAGGTAATTAGAGAAAAAAAATGCGAGAAATTGTTACAATGGGCACCGAAGCCGTGGAGCAGCTCTGGTGAGAGTGTTGGGTTTAAATCCAGAGAAATGTGAGTTTAAGAGGACGAAATGATCAAACACAGACAGGGATTTGCGACGTCAGCCTCTGCACAGGGGAGAAGAACTACTGGCTCACAACCAGCACCTTTTCTCACAGTTCCCTTCACAGCAGAGCCTTTTATTAACAGTTTACAACATAATAGGGCTGGTCTTAAACAGAAGACCCTGTAATGATGATCTGGCAGGATGCATGTCATAAGACAGTGTGACTCTGCCTTATGACCTACTGGATGCAGGTCATAAAAGTTTATGACCCTCCTGATTGAATCACAGGACAGAAATGTAGCATCTTATTTCTTCAATGTTTCATATGCACACCCATTAATTTTATAATTGTAACTCTAACAGAGAGGGATTCAGACAGATAATAGAGCAAAACACAAAGAACACTATTATCAAAGAACACTATTATCTGTTATTTACTTCCTTGATTTCTTTAGCACTGGTGACATCATCAACGCTAACCAAGCTTGATGATGTCACTAGACATGCAGCAGCCAGCGAGGGGTTAGATCCAGTTTTTTTTTGTCAGTGGGAAAGGAGCCAAATGCCGATTGTTAGCGGGTTGACTCGTGTTAACGTGCTATTTTCAGTGGGAAAGAGGCTTTAGACAGGCTCTGACTGGTAATCTATGATACCAGGCATTTGCCCAGTGGGCTGGACCTCATTTCAGTGTGCGAGGGCCGGCCCTTTTTAAATTATATCAACCCCAACAATTATTTTCAGGGCGAAGCTCCTACCTGTGACAGTAAATAACTCGAGGGCTCCAAGAAGTGATCCAATGTTGACTATCTAATTGATGCATGCAGTATATATAGCACTTCCTTGTCATGCACGGCCTTGTGACGGTTGGAAAATGGTGTAATTTTCTATTTCTTCAAACTGTAAAATTTTTGCAACAAACTAAATTATAATAAAACTAAAATGCTTTCTTTAAAAAAAAAAACAACTATAATGTTCCTCTCATATACCCCATTTACACTACCCTTGAAAAACCGATCCATGCTGAGACCGGTCCGAGCTCGGATCATTTAACCAGGCCGAGCTCGGTTCTGACGACCTTTTACAAATCACGCTATCTCGGGTCCTTGACTCCTCGCCTCCTAGTGACGATCTGCGGTATAACTGCCGGTATTGAAGGAGGAAATCAAGCAGTTGGTGGCGGTAATGCACCAAAAGTTGTATGCCAACCGCCATAAAACACAAGAAGAAGAAGACAAAGAAGGAGGGAATCAAGCAGTTGGTGGCGGTAATGCACCAAAAGTTGTTTGCGAAACACCATAAACACAAGAAGAAGAAGACGAAGAAGGAGGGAATCAAGCAGTTGGTTGTGGTAATGCACCAAAAGTTGTTTGCCAACTGTCATAAAACACAAGAAGAAGAAGACAGAGAAGGAGGGAATCAAGCAGTTGGTGGCGGTAATGCACCAAAAGTTGTATGCCAACCGCCATAAAACACAAGAAGAAGAAGACAGAGAAGGAGGGAATCAAGCAGTTGGTGGCGGTAATGCACCAAAAGTTGTATGCCAACTGTCATAAAACACAAGAAGAAGAAGACAGAGAAGGAGGGAATCAAGCAGTTGGTGGCGGTAATGCACCAAAAGTTGTNGCTACACCCGGCTAAGCTGCTTCGCTTCTTCTTCTTCTTGTTTACTACTGGTGGTTGGCTTTGGTCGCAGTACCGCCACCTTCTGCTCTGGAGTGTAAACGCTTCGCCTATGAGAAAAAGGAGCAGCGGATGAACCGAACGAAACACACGCGAACCGAACCGAGACAGTCGAACCGAACGGTTCGGACGGTCTTCATAAACCGTTCCATCCCTACTAGACATGCAGCAGCCCCCCGCTGCGATCCTGAAAAGCAGCAGGATCGCCGCATGCAGCTGCACATCCACAGCTACGCCAGGGAGCACCAGCCCCGCCATCCTCAGAACCAAACCGACACCCCGGTTCAGGCGTTATCCCCGACAGGCAGCCATGAGATGGTCTCGGCAACCTTTCGTGGATTGACTTGATTGTTGTTTATAGTTGTTCTTCTTCTATTTTGGTTTTGGTTGCCAAGCTACTTCCGGAGGGGCATTACTGCCAACTACTGGAATGGAGTCTGAATCGCGATGTGCAGCAAGATGGAGATGATGCGTTCTGCTCATGCACTCTTGTTATCAGAGAACCAAGCCAGGGAAAAACCGAACCGAGCCCACCTCTGGAACTGGTCTGCAGTTAGCTCGATTCGGTTCAGTTTCCATTTACACACGATAAGTTATCTCAGTCACTGAGCTCGGACCGGTCTCGGCACGGTTTTTCAAGGGTAGTGTAAATGGGGTAATATTTGGTGAATTTATGTTTGAATATTTTGCAAAGATATGTTGCAGTGCATGATGGTGTTTTGCATCTAAAGGCTAATCAGTCTAATGTGAATGAGCAATGCAAACATAATCCATCGCTTGCTAGCAGTGCTTTCCCGGTGTTTTAAACCTTGTGGAATAAAGTGGAACCTGGAATAAATTGCGACTTGCAAAAAGTCCCGCCAAGGTAGGCGGTGTAGATGAAAAAATGCCAAGGCCAAAAATCATTCCCAGTCTGAGCCTGGCTTTAGACTAACAACTAGTACCTTTAATCGTGCAGTAACTGAGTTACTAAACAAAAACCTGGTCTAACGCGCTATTTTCAGTTGGAAAACTGCTTTGTTGTATGTTATTGAACACATAAACCATCTCATTTCAGTTGAAAACTTTTTATTTATCATCCTACGTAAACATGGAAACGTTTCCGAGCAAACTGAAGCTAAGTCGTTCCATATCGACAGGATTGAAAGTATGTTGGTAACATTTCTCCGCTCTCTTTCTTCTTGCTGATTCTGCAGCACACAGCGAATAGAAGCCAAACGACACTGTGTGTGTTTGGAGCTGCCCGATGAGGTTGTCCCCAAAGATGAGGATGACACAGCGCAGTATGGGAAGAGGCCCAGACTCAGCCTCATCCCTCACCGAACCGCTGTACACGAGGGCAAAAGAAACAAAGGTGAAGTTTTCGGTCAGCTGTCACCGTCCTATTGGCTCTGTAAGGAAGGAATGTTTTCAAATATTAAGCGATTTATTGTTTTGTTTACAGGGCCGCCAAAGTTGGTCGTCACACCAACAAAGCTTACTCTGATCGACCCGTTTCACAGGGGTGTGAGTCAGAGCAACGGTGACGGAGGCCGTCCTCCTCATTACACCAAGACTCGAGCACCCGCCATATCTTCTCATTCAAGGTCCAGAAATGGACATCTGTCTGTTTCCGCAGAGCAGAAGTGGTCCGAAACATCCGCTCAACATGGGCGCAGTATGGGCGTGGCCAGCCTGCTCTTCCACAGGACTCTGAGTCCGAAGGACACGCTTCAGGTTCAAAGCTACACTCTGGAAAAGCAGCAGGATCGCCGCACGCAGCTGCACGTCCACAGCTACGCCAGGGAGCACCAGCCCCGCCATCCTCAGAGCCAAGCCGACACCCCGGTTCAGGCCTTATCCCCGACAGGCAGCCATGAGATGGTGGACGCCAAGCCTCAAGCTCGGGCTCTTCAAACAGCAGAGGGACCTGCTCAGCCAGAGGCGATCAGGCCACCGCTGCTGGAACACAAAGACGCCAAGCCTGAGAAACTAGAGCTGATCCAAGGCCCAGTTATGACCAAGAAAGTTGAAGTTGATGTCTTTAACAAATCCACCGTCCCACCGACCCAAACACCAACCCATGACCTCAGCAAAGGCAGGATGGAGGCTTCCAGAGTCAACAAGCGGAAGGTCTGTGTTTCCTCCACTGAAAAAAGGTTTCATCCTCCCAGAAAACCTTATTTGAAACTTTTTAAAGGATTTATTTTATACGACTGTGCCTTGCTAACCTAATCTCAGGTCTATATTTAACATCTTCTCTTATTAACTTTTTTAATTAATTCTTTCTTTGTCTCACTTCTCGGTGTCCCTGACAAGCCAACGAGGAACAGCTAGATATTTGCCCCTTTTTATTGTCTGAAACAGTAAAGCTTGTTTTAATTTTGTGGTTTCTTTGCTTCAACCCAGAAATTAGACAGAGCCCAAAGTTTTGGTCAGTCGTCCTGTTGGGGAAAAGCAAAGGAATCCGGCCGGTTTAAAGAAAATCTCCTGCACAAGTTCTGCGTTATCTGAGCTGAGGGGTGAAGTAGGGCTGGGCGATATGAAGAAAATCTAATATCCTGATATATTTGGGCTATATCGCAACACATGATATATATCACAATGTGTTTAAATTACCTTTAAAAACAATAGAGTGCATAATATTTCACTGATATACTCATTCAAACCCTTTGTTTCAAATTTAAAACCATTTTTTTTAACCAGCTCGAAGCTTTTCTGCCACATGATGTCTTTAGGAAATAAGGCAAAAACACGATACTAAATAAAACGGAAAATTAAAAAAGTACTCTTTTTCTACATTGTTTAAAAAAAATGCTGAATGAAAAAAGAAATTGACCTCAAATTACAAAAACAAAATTGGAAATACTGTCCATAAATTAGGGCATTATGGGAGCATCTCCAATTTATTAGCATTGTTCTTTACATGTTGGGGATTTTAAATAAGCATAGAACACTGCCAAGTTTAGAGAATGCCTGCAAAACCTCCGAACATCACAGGTATTAGTGCATCTAAAGAACATTTAAATAACATCATAAATAGCGTCTGTGATTTCCCTCCATCTCTTCCTTTTTCTCTCATATGACATCGCTTTTTTAAACGACGAGGCAAACGCCATCGGCTTCACAGATTACTTATTTAACGTTTAATTGGTGTGCAGAGAAACTATGACATGCAGATGTTTTTTTAGTTAGTGGAATAAATTCTTACTCCTACCTTTTGCAGCAATGGTTTTTACGGCACGTTTTACAAATTAGCGCCTTTTGTTCGACGTCCTCGATGTGAAATCCAAGCCACTGCCGTGTATCGCTCAGCTGAAACACCTGCTGTCACCATATTTTGTTTGCCGGTTGCTGTAGTGTGCATGCGTACCGCGCAGAAAATAATCCTGTCTGGAAGAGGGGTTTGTGATGCATTCAAAGTGTGTGGGAGAAACTAAAACTCTCAGTGAAATAGATGTGGATGGCTTAATGTTAGGGGTGTAAATCACATCCATCATGGCGATTCGATTTCAGTATCGATTTCCTGACCCAACGATTCGATTATTTTCGCTACTCAAGAATACACCACGATTCGATTCGATTAATCAATGAATTTTTTTTTTTTTAAGACCCTACAGGCTAAACAAAGTTTCAAGTTTGAAATAAATCAATGAAAGCTGTAATATTGTAATGCTTTTTTTTTTTTTTTAAGACCCTACAGGCTAAACAAAGTTTCAAGTTTGAAATAAA